ACCATTTTCACAGTGGTTGGGTCTTGCCACTTCAACTAATCCAATCAAGGTAATCTCTCACATCATGCCTAGCAGCTGCTCTCCTGAGTGAGTCTAGATCTCAAGTTGACAGTTGAGATTGACCATCACAATCATCACACTTAAGAGTACTTTCTAGAAAACACAGTAGGTCCTGATAAATGACAAATACATAATTGGTGGTTGGTGAATGTTTGTGGATGAATTTATTAAGTCAATACAAATTAATCATTTAGTATTATTTTTGCTATAAAAAGGCTTAGGGTAGAAATCAGGAGGTTTGGAAAAAAGGCAATTTGGAGGCCTCTCTCACTAGTATGGAGACCTCAGAGAGGTTGTTTAAATTTGCTAAGCTTTACTTTTCCAATCTTCAAACTTTGTTGACAGCCTGCCCTGTCCACTGCAGTTAGGGTTTTGAGAATGAGTGTGAAAAGATAAAAGCACAGCCTAGGAGGTGCTTATCCCACATCTCTGTCCTGGATTTGGATCAGGAGTGAGACATGTGTTGACCTTTGGATCCCCATTATCTAAGACCAAGTATTTTGGGGTCACTGAATTTATCAGCCAGGCCTTTTAGTTACAAAAAACATCAGCCAGGCAGTGGTGGTGGTGCATGCCTTTAATCCCAGCACTTGGGAGGCAGAGCCAGGCAGATCTCTGTGAGTTCCAAGCCAGTCTTGGCTACCAAGTGAGTTCCAGGAAAAGTGCAAAGCTACACAGAGAAACCCTGTCTCGAAAAACAAAACAAAAAACAAACAAACAAAACAAAAAATAAGTACTAATTACAAAAACCATCAAAACAAACAAACAAACAAACAAACAAACAAAAAACCTGAAAACAAACCAAACCAACAAACAAACAAAAAAACCCAGAAACTAATTCTGGCTAATATAATCAAAATAGGAGTTCATTGGAGGCTACCTTGAAGGTCTCAGAATAGACAGAATACTTAACTAATGACCAGGAAACACAGGTAAGACAACACCACAGAAACTTCACTGTGCAGTGCATATCAGTACCACCACTAGCGTAAATTCTAAACTTTCCTACTTCTAATTTGAGGTCTTCAGGGAGATTGGGTCTTATTCTCCAGTAGCCATGGATGCTGGAAGGTGATTGGCGTCTCCCAATTTCCATAAGTGGAAGAAGACATACTCTCTCATCCTTTGTGGTAAAATAGCAGTTTCCCCAGATATGAGAAGGGGGCTTATATGCTAAGCAGCCAGTAAGAATGCCAGCCCCATCCAAGACAGGATGTAAAGGAAATGAGGTACTGATAATAATCGGGAAACTTAGACTAGGAAAAGGGCAGGGTTTATTGAGCAGCAACACTGACTTGAGACTTTGCTAGGCAGTGTTTGGGGTCCTGGGTACAAAGACCCAGTGCTCAAGGTGCTCAGCCAGTTAGGGAATATAATATCACCACTGTGATAAGGAAGGGCTGTAACCAAGCTATGACAAAAGACAGTGGAGCACAGAGCAAAGGATTAGTTCTAGAAAACATACAGTTTCTCAGAAAAGCTCTCAGGGAGGAGATTGGTCTTGGAGGGTTGCGTCAGAAGCACGGCCAGCTCTGGTATTTGTTAATCTTGCTCATTAGCCAGAATCTGGGTCATGGTATTTCCTGTTCAGTCCTTTCCTGTTGCCACCAACCACAACACATATGCTATTACAGTTAAGGTCTAAAATTAGCATTGTTAGGGCCCCAGAACTATTAGGGTTCTGTTTGTTTTCTTCCTTTACTCTCCCCAAATTTTGACAATGGCAAAACGTAATGGCTGCTTCTGGTGCTTTTCACTATTTTAGCTGTAAGTGTATACTTAGAACCAGCATTTAAATAATAGCTCAGCCATGGACTGCTGGTATGATCACCCTAAGACCTGATTCCTCAAAGATAAAACAGGAAAGAAAAATATTCGCCTCCCAGAACCACTGTGGGGATTAACTGGGGAGACCTCCTGGGGGTGCCAGCATTTTGGCCATTAGCAGCAGGATGAGGCAGTTCACATATCTGTGAGCTTGAGGATGCCTCTGTTGGTCCCCCTTTGGCTTAGGGGCTTTCATGCAGCAGCAGAGGGGCTACAAGAAGAAAATGTCTTCCAGGAAAGCAGGAGCCCAGAGAATGTGCCAAAAATGTAAGACTATTGGAGTAAAGGAGAAACAGACAGAATTTCCCCTTAGCTATGAGACGCCCCCCTAGACACTGTCTCCATGGTGGAATGAGAGCCTGGCTTCTGGATTTGCGTGACGCTTTCCAGTCCTATGAGAATGATTTCAAAAACAGCTGTCCTGACTCCAGGAAGGTTCGTCTCTGTTCTTTATGAGGAAAAAAACGATGTACCCAGACGCCGGCCAGAGCAGGCTCCCTTCTCCATCGAGATCTCAGAAGGGTGGAGAACAGAGTGTCCACTAAGTAGACATTGTCACACGCTGTCCCCACAACATCTGAAATGTGTGCACAAGGGCAGGTTGAATGCCACTGGTGGGGCAGCTCTCTGCCCTGTCTGAGTCCTAAGCACAGTGTTTGAAGGGAACGTGCCACAGGCTGAAGGGATTTCATAAAGGCTAGATTCAGACATAAACATGCTGCGTGGCTTGGAACAGACAGTGAAGAAGTGTGCGGCGTGAGAATTAGCTCTCCTTTCTGAGAGTCCTTGAGTATAATTTAGGAGCCTCTTCTTGCCAGTAAGGCATGGTGTTCCCTTCTCACCTGGGAGTTGTGAGTAAATTCTGATCCTTTGTTCCTGTCACAGCCATCCACTGAGAACCTACACCATCCCAGGCATTGGAGGGACATATAAGATCTCAGGTCTCATTCTAAGAAAGGAGGGGAAGTTGCCTTGTAAAAACCCAGGCTCCTCCTTTTGAGGGAAAGGATGACTGCCTCTCTCGACTGCATATGGAGAGAATAATTTCATGCAGAGAAGCTTAGTTCTGGTGTTTGCCAAGCTCCTCATCCCATCTGGGGGCAAGCCCAGGACTGGGAGCAACGGAGCAGCAGAACATGTTGCTATGGTAACTTGGCATCACACACCTTTGCTCCTTTGTGTCAGCCTCCCCCTACCCCAAACCTCTAAATTACCTTTATAACCAGCGTATCTTTTCAGAATATGGAAAGCTTTTCTTAATTTTCACACAGACAGTTATAAAGACATTTTTTTCAAGGCACTGGGACAAAGGGACAATGCTTCCTTTTGAAGGTTGAGGCTCTTGCTGATCTTGCTTCCTGGCACACAACTAGATAACTGAGACCCAGACTAGCTTATCTTCTGTGGAAGATTTCCCTTTCAAATTCCCTTCATGTTGGTGGACTTTATCACCATGTTGTTTCAACCTCATACTTAAACAACCCTAAAAGAAAATGAGCCCATTAAACATGCTGTGCCTAGAAGCATCCCTGTGAGGTAGAACTAATTTTCCTACTTTACAAATGGAAAAATAAACTTCAGTGGTCCTGGAGCAGTAACATGAGAGATGGTGAACGGGTGAGGTGGGTCAGTGGATAAAGGTACTTGCTGCTAAGGCTAATGACCTGAATTCGATGCTCGGGACCTGCATCGTGGAAGGAGAACACTGGCTTCTGACAGTTGTTCTCTGACCTTTACAAGCATGCTGCTACGTACCGCATGCACACACCTGTACACTCATGCACATGCATGAGGACACATTCTCTCTCTCTCTCTCTCTCTCTCTCTCTCTCTCTCTCTCTCTCTCTCTCTCTCACACACACACACACACACACACACACACACACACACACGTAAATATAAAAAAAAATTTTTTTAAGATGAGGAATGGAAATAAGAGGAAAAAAAAAGATGAGGCATGGAACCAGGACTTTGACTTCAAATTTGATATGTCACTCATATCTCAACCGATGTTCAGTCTCTTTCATCCTTCAAATTTTTACAAATACACAAATGCAACCAAAGCAGCAGCCAGCCTGTGCTTTGGTTTCTTAAAAACAGCTTTATTAGCCAGGCTTGATGGCACACACCTTTAATCCCAGCATCAAGGAGGAAGAGGCAGTCTACCCATTTTGCCAGGCACTGGTGGTACATGCTTGTAATCGCAGCACTAGGGAGGCTGAGGCAGGAGGATATCTGCGAGTCCAGTGTCAGCTGAATTACATAGTGAGTTTGAGGCAAGCCTGAGCAAATTAGCAAGACTCTGTCTCAAAAAAAAAAAAAAACAAAAAAAGTACGCACCCATTACAACTTTGTATACAATACAATGATTTGTAAAGTTTGTAAGCTGAGGGATATGCTGGGCTAATTCACTTGCTGTGCGATTTTGCCCACTTAAAACCTACACTCTTATCATTTTTCAATATGTCCACAGAGTTGTGAATGATCACCACAATCAGTTTTAGAACATTTGTATTCTCTCAAAAAGAAGCCAAAGGTCTTTTAGCTGTTATTCCCAATCGATTGTCCCACACTCACTTCTATGCCCAAGCCGTAAGCAGCCACTAATATACTTTATATCCCTGTAACTTTTCCCATTCTGGGCACTTAATATTAATGCGTGTGTGTGTGTGTGTGTGTGTGTGTGTGTGTGTGTGTGTGTGTGTGGAGAGAGAGAGAGAGAGGGAGGGAGAGGGAGAGAGTGTGTGTCTTTCTTCATGACTGCCTTTTACTAAGCATGTTTTCAAAGTTCATGCATGTTTGGATATAATAGCATAGCCAAGCAGTATTATATTTCTTCTTCATTTACTCATGAGTCAGTGGGCATTTGGATTGTTACTATACCTTTTGCTGTTATTAGTAATGTTGCTATGAATGTTTGGGTATCAGTTTTTGTGTGGAGCTGTGGTTTTCATTTCTCCTGGTTCATGCCTAGGAATGGTCTAGCTGGACCAAATGATAGTTCTGCATACTGCCAGACTGTTTCCCAAGGTGATTTTGCCATCTTACATCCGACTAAGAAGGCATACGAATTCCAGTTTCTCCCCACCCTTGCCAATGTTTGCTGAGATCTCTTTTTTTTTTTTTTTTTGCTTCATTTTATTTCACAGTTGCATTTTCACGTCTACACGGACATCATTTTTGGTGGTTACGAAGTGTTCTGTGTCGGTTGGTGTGCCGTTACTTAATCACAGCTTTAAAGTGGAGGCTTTGGATCTTGCCCAGTTTCGCACTGTTGTAAACCGTGGGACCTGAATTATTACCACACACTCCTTTTCTCCCTTAGTCTTTTTCCTTGATGTATGTTCCAAAGCAAACAACTGATACACACAGGTTTGATATGGCTTCTCTGATCACTCTGCACAGAAAATGGCCTGTTTGTAAAATGCCACCAGCAGAGTTGGTGCCTGCCTCCCTCCCCACAGCCTCTGTTAACAGAAGGATTTGTCGACTTACTCAGGAGAACTAATAACACCGGTGTGTTGTATAAAAGAACCATAGGTTGCTTTGATTTGGGTTCCTTTTGCTGTTGGGAACTTACAACATTTAACAGCCATCAGATAGCCCAATTGAGTCATGGAGCCAAGGAAGCCAGGCAGTGCAGGAAGGTCCAGGGATCAAAGCAAAGAGCAGAAGTTGAAAGAAATTCCCTGGGTGCAGGTGACCAGTCTAATGGGTAAGTAGCTGTAGGTGAAGAGGCTGCTGGGAAGGGCGCTGAACTGATCTCGATGCTTCCTTCTCCAACACCTGCTGCATTCAGCACCTCTCCTAGCTCTGCTTCTCCCTCTGATCATTCCTTCTCATTTTCTTTAAGAGCTTTCCCGGTCACTTCCCTCTTTGGCATTGGCATTCTCTAGAATTCCATTCCTGGATTCTTTCAGCATCTGAGTCTTTCTGAGGAAGTTCTAATACTATGCAAATTCCAAAAGCTCCCATCTAGTTACCTCCAGCTTAGGCTTTTCTCCAGGAGTTCCAGTTCTTGCTGTCTACCTTACTGAACGTCTATCTCCACAGGAAGTCGTCTGGGCACTTCGAGTCCAGTGTTTCCCCTTAGGCCCCTTCTTCCTCATATGCCCTGTCTTCATGATGGTAGCAACATGGGCCCCATCTCCTCAAGCCAGGAAATTGTTCGGAACTCTCCCCTACACTAAATATTCCTAACCGTACGTGGTTTTCTCCCCTAACAGACCAGATTTGTTGGATTTGTGTTTTCTCCCAGTAATCGTGGCACTATGGCACACATTAGAGTTGTATTGGTGGAAAATGTCACCTTAGGAAGGAAAATAAAAATGAACTGAGTGAACATGTACATAGAATGAAGGTAGACTCACTATGGACCCGCAGCCTTCATGGTAATTCCTCAGGCTTCAGCAGCAATGGAGGTTTCCTGGACCTTTCGCTAAAGGGTCTACATCAAGTGTGACTTGGCTGTAACAATGTTAAACCTCATGGTTCAAAATTCCTGGGAGAGCTTGAAGACCAACACTAGTTAAGAAAGTAGGGGTGGTTCAGTGAATTACTGATGCAAGAATAGCTGTGGAGAAAGACCCTTGTGTCCTACAGTCATTTATCAAGAAGAAAGAGTTGGCATGAGATGGATGATCTACCCAGAAGCTGTCTGCCACATGGCCGTAACCTCTGGCCCCGTCTTTCTGCTTCTAGTTTTATCCTTCTTGAACCCATGTTCTGCTGTAATGATCTCCCACAACTCAAGTCAGAGAGAGAAAGAAAAGTGTAGACTTTGAAATCCTTCCTCACTTCTTAGCAGGCTGGGGGCTGGCGGAGAGACTTAGAGCAATACCAACTGCCATTTACCTGAGATCCCACTCATGTCCACCTCTGCAAAACCTTCCTGACGATTATCTCTACCCTTCATGATAGCTCCACATCCACGACAGTATGCTTAGTATGTAAAAAGCAGCAGCCGAGACTGAAAGGAATTAGTAAGACTGTCCTAGGTATTATGATACAGTTTGGGTGGCCTTGGCGGGTTGGACCAAGGTGCCCCACGGGTGAGGAAGACACGCCATACAGACCCAGCGGGGGCTGTGGCGCATGCAAAGTCATTCATACCATGAGACACAGCATCTACGTGGAGAGTTTATTATAATAGATAGAGAAAGAGGGGGAAAGAGAGAGAGGGGGAAGAAAGAGAGAGGGAGAGAAAGAAGGAAAGCGGAGGCGTGCACACCTCATGTCAAGAAAGGGAGGAAGGAGAAGAGGAAGAAGAAGAAGGGAGGGATCTTTCCCCAAAGGAGGCCTTAGTCAGGACGCAGGGCGGGTCCCCAAGGGAGGGGGCAGAATGCCAACATTAGGGCCCATGACTGCTAAGTAGTGGAACTGACCCCAAGCTCACCACACCGGTTGTTTTTATGCAATGCAAGGGCTCAAGCGTGGGGTTTTGTGCCTGCTAGGTGATCACGCTCCCCACTGAGCTACATCCCCAGTCCTGGCACAGGTTTTCTCCTGATGAAACTTTCATTTTACCACACAGGTATGCTCTTGGATAACTTACTTCAATCCTAAACCTCCGTTTTCACATCTGAAGAATAAGTATAATGAAATGGTACCTACACTTTCACGAGGCTCAAATGGCATAGCCCATGTAAAGCACTTAGAAGTTAGCTATAATTAACATTGTAATATCCCTGGAACTCTAACCACTGAATCATCAGCCTGTCCTGTCCAAGGCCGGTCAGGTCCATGTGTAGGTCTGTTCTGGGCACTGAGCATACTTTGAGATCAGGAACTCAGCCAGTCCTTTCCATGTCCCTAGTAGGGGGGTGAATACAGAGCGGTTGTGTTTACCGAAGCAAAATAGGAAAACGGGTCTCAAGAGAATACATGCTAAGTCTATTCTTGGATTGTTTCTCTAAAACATTCATCCCATCCTTATCTCCCTGCAGCGCCAGCCTTAAAACATTCCGTTGGTCTTCGGTCCACACTAACCACCTACCCTGTGGTGCCCAGCTTCCTTTTGTCGTCCTTTGTTCCTGCCACTTCCTCTTTTTTTTCCCCTTTCTACTTCCTCCTACTCAAGCTCATCTCATGCTGTGTCAGGTTTCCATCTCTGTCGTTTTTGTCAGTGCTGAGAGACTTTTCCCTCCAATTCATGTTATTGCAGGCTTCCCAGAAATCTGTGGAGAGTTACAGTAACCGGGGAAAGCCCCACCCTTCCTTTCCCCCTCCTGCAGCAAGTCCTTGAGGCCCCAGAATATCTGGTGGAGTCAGCCTGAGCTCCCTCTCCCAGCAGGATACAGGCCTGTAAACATTGGACTCGGAGTTAATGTGCCCAGCCACACAGTCAGAAATTATTAGAAGCATAGGGGAGCTTAGGCCTGGCCATCCCCATGAGCTCACATGTGAGGAAGTTGTAGCAGCATCAGATAGGTTCAGAAAATCCTCCACTTGGGCTTCACAGAGATCTGAATTCTATTTAACCCTTCCTTTGAACTCCAGCCTTGAATACCGCATAAAGGGTTTGTCACCTGATAATAGACTCTGCACCAATAATTATCCTATATAATGATCTGCCTGTAATTAAATCTGGACTATTTGATATGTAAACATTAAACAAAATACAAGATTGAATGGGATTAAACTTGCTGGATGGACACATGCCTTTAATCCCAGCACCGGCAGGAGGGCAAACCTCTGTGAGTTGGAGGTCAGCCTGGTCTGCATAATGAGCCGGGTCAGCTTCACATTGAGACCCTATCTCAAAAGAAAAGAATGAGGAAATAAAATACATTATAGCTGGTAAAGAAAAGACAGTAAGGTGTGGTTAGAAGGAGGCTAGGTTTAAGACACCCAGACTGTTTTCTTTGTTCCATTTAGGTTAGCATACAAAGTAATGGTTTTTCACCATGGTATATATATTCACGAATATATATGAAGACTCTTCGATTCTTGTTTCAGCTACCACTGTTAATGGAGTATTGGCCAAGTCTCACAACCTCTGCTGTTAAACTGAAGGGTTATTCAGTATGACATCAAAGAGAACTTTGAACTCTGACTAAGTGCTATATAAGAAGGAGAAAGGGAGAGAGGACTTTGGGTAGGGTTTATTGTGCCTGTCTTGCCTAGGGAAATGAGCCTGAAAGTCATGTGGGATTTCTGAATGAAAAGAACAGAAGACTACTGTGGAGCTAGAGATGAAACCACCCGTTAAAATAAGGAGGCACACAGCAAATGCTCCATTCAGAATACAAGGCCTCGTGAGCTGTGGGAAGGGTTGAGTGGGCAGGTTATGGAGGGGTGTTGCAGGTCATAATGGAGCCTTAGGAAGGTAGAAAGTGAGAAACCAACCCCCAAAAGTTGTTCTCTGACTTTCACAGGTACAACGTAGGGTACCCAAGCTCTGCCATACAAGCACACACACATAAACATGGAATAAAATACACAGATTTCATATAAATGTTTTATAACACTTAAAATGTTTTAAACATATGAAAATACACAAACAGATTTCTTTAAATGTTTTATAAACATTTAAAATTTTTTATTCTATGTGTATTGGTATATGTCTGTGCACCATGTATGTGCCTGGTGCCCAAGGAGGTTAGGAGCGGGTATCAGATTCCCTGGAACTAGAGTTACAGCTGTTTGTGAGCTGCCATAGGGGTCTGGGTCCTGAAACTGGGTCCTCTGCAAGAGCAATCAGTGCTTTTTGGCTTCCGTAGTTTCGCTTCTGGCTAAGTGTTCTTGCTAACTGAAGTATGTCAAGCTAGAATATGGTTTTTTTGTCTTTGAAAGTTCACCCTAAAAAAGGCTCCAGGCTATACTGGGACCCGGAGTGTAGTCACAGTCCAGCTAATAAAGACTTTCTATTGGCTTAAACCTGTGTCTGAGCAGTATTCTCTGGTGGGATACCCCACAACACAATCCCTACAGGAACAAGTTGTTCCACACACACACACACTACAGCTGGTTACAGGCTGAGCTGCCCGATCTGGGTGCTGGGACATGAACTCTGCCTGAGCAGTATGTATTCTTACACACTGGACCTTACCTCCTGCTCTCTTCCAGTGCTAAATCTTCTTTTGGTCAAAAAAACCAACAGTTGCAGGACTCTTTGCCCCTTCTCTGCTCCTGAGGTCCCACTTCCCTGCCTTCTCTGGGGAGACTCAGCCCTGCTCTGTCTGTCATGTGCTTCCTTCTTAGTGTTTCACTTCCTTCTCGCTCAGCACGGAAATGACCCACAGGCCGAAACAACCAGCAGGCAAACAGCAAATATTGCCCAATCTGTTGTTTGTTCTTTCTGACTCTCATTAGTTGGTTACCCTGATTTTTCAGTCTGCAACATCCTGTGAGTTGTTGACTGGCTAATTCTGGTGAGAGCTGCTCCTCCTTTGTATCAGAATTCCACAGAACTCTCTGAATTTCCCATCAGATGATCACAACCACCCTCTGCATTAAGGTTCTGTTTTTGTTTTTGCACGTAATTCTCTTGTCCGTGATATCCTTACTTGTGATTAACAGGCAGTACATACCCAGAACTTGTTAACCCACTGACAGATACTATATTTGATGAAACTGACTTAGTTTTAGTTACATCGAAGTAGATCTTGGTCCACAATTACACTTACTAGACTTATACTCACATCCAGAAAAAAAGAATATGCTACAAATACATTAAAATACAATTTTTCTGGTTACCTTTCTACTACTCACTTCCTGTGTTGCAGTATAGTGTTATTGTTTGTTTATAATTCATACCACACCTTCTTCCTTCCTTCCTTCCTTCCTTCCTCCCTCCCTCCCTCCCTCCTTTCTTTCTTTTTCTCAGAAGAGAGACCTTATTCTGAGATAGAATAACAAAACAAATAACTTCAGATGGAGAACAGTAGAAACAAGGCTCAGAAGACATAACTTCTCCCTCTCTGTAGAGCTTCATGCCAGCTCCATAACTTCCCACTTAACCAACTGACCAAAAAGAAGTAGACCAAACCTTGAACTTCCTGTCATCCATATACTCCTATGCCTACAGTACTCCTCATAAGGGAAATGCTTAGACCCTTGAGGACATTTACAATCTACATCCCTTTCTCGATCTTGGACCTTCAGCAATGCTAAGAGAAAATGGGAAGTCACTTTGAGGACCTACCTTAATTTACTAGTAACTTAGCTTTAACTTGCATCTTAGGTGTGTGACCTAATCTTAGTTCTAATTACTTAGCTGCACCACTAAGGAGAAACCCACAATATGCAAAGAAGCTAGGAAGCATGCACACAAACTGTGTGCTCAGAATCCTGCTGTGCTGGAGGACAGACCCTTCCAGACCAGGAAGCAGCTGCTCGGGATTACACAACCCAGCAGGAATCTGCAGATGTAGGATGATGATACAATCTCATCACAAGGCCAGACATTTTTATCAAGAAACCTGTTGTGGAGAAAGACAGCTCCGTGCTTAGGAGTATTTACTGAACTTGCTTACGAGAAGGCTTATGGAATTAACAGTGGAACAGTGTGGCTAGCCTGTCACAATGGTGCCATCGTGAGACAAGTCCATGTAATGTAAAAAGTGAGGGAGGAAATAGAAACTCCTAGTGAAGACCACGTGGCCAGGAGCTGCAGAGCCCTGCCAGACTGCTCTTCATCCGCAGCACGGACATCAAATGCACCTCGTGGAAGTGCATGAGTCTCATCTGACTAGACGTTCATAGCAAGTTGAAGCATAAATCTGTACTCTGTCATTTCTATGAACGTACTCAGATTTTAAGTTCATTTCTACAGCACCAGTAAAAGGTAAACAATATCCATTCCCCATGGAGGCAGCCTTTGCTTTTATTTTTTTAACATATAATTTATTTTTATTTTCTGTGAATTGCCTATGTGCATGTCTATGTGAGGGTGTCAGAAACCTGGAACTGGAGTTACAGACAGGTGTGAGCTGCCATGTGGGTGCTGGGAATTGAATCTAGGTCCTCTGGAAATGCAGCCAGTGCTCTTAACCACTGAGCCATCTCTCCAGCCCCCAGCCTTTATATATAATAAGGATATATTTATGCATTTTTGGTTCCTGGCACACAGCTCCTAAAATGCTGGGGACTGCTGGAATTCTAAGTATCTCTTGTATAATAATGAGATGACTGGTAGCCTAAGCAAGCTTCAGGATGGGGACTAGAAGGCAGAAAGCCTTGATTTGAACTGTAAAACTTTCAGCCCTGTCCCTAAACTCTGGGACAGAAAGGATGGATATTGAATTCAACCACCAATGGCAAAATGACTTATTGTACACATCTACTTAATTAAACCTTCATGAAAACCCCAGCACGAGGGGGCCTGGAGAGCTTCTCAGCTGGCAAACACATTTACCATCCCTCCGTGGACAGAAGTTCTTACGCTTAGGACCCCTCTGAACCTGTCCTCTGTACTTTCTATCTAGCTGTTCATTTGTAGCCTTTAAAATAACCTCAGAGCTGGGCGGTGGTGGCGCACGCCTTTAATCCCAGCACTCGGGAGGCAGAGCCAGGCGGATCTCTGTGAGTTCAAGGCCAGCCTGGACTACCAAGTGAGTTCCAGGAAAGGCGCAAAGCTACACAGAGAAACCCTGTCTCGAAAAACCAAAAAAAAAAAAAAATAAATAAAATAAAATAACCTCAGAAATGTAAAGCATGAGCCTTCTTTAATTCTGTGAAACATTCAAGCAAATTATCAAGCCCCCAAACAGAGAGGGACAAAGGAAAGGGACAAGAGACAAGTTAAGACCAGGAGTATGCCTTCAGTGACCCGTTTCTAAAGTTTCTGCCACCTCTCAGTAATGCCATCAGTGACTCTGTGGATTAACCCATATATGAAGACAGAACCCTCCAGATCCAACACTTCCCCAAAGCCCCACCTCTGAACATTGTACTAGAGACCATTACATAGCATTGCACTATGAGTCTTTTTGAAGGAAAATTCATATCTAAATCATCAAATTACCTGAACGGACATTTTTTTTTTTCCGGAGCTGAGGACCGAACCCAGGGCCTTGCACTTGCCAGGCAAGCGCTCTATCACTGAGCTAAATCCCCAACCCCATGAACCGACATTTTTACAAGGAAGATTTTTAAAAAAAGGCCGATAGGTACATAAAAAAATTCTTAACATCACTAATCACCAGAGACATGCAAGTGATGGACTAGAGAGACGGCTCAGTGGTTAAATGTACATGCTGCTCTTGCAGGGAAGCTGCGTTCAGTTTTCAGCACCCACATGGCATCTCAAAACTGTCCATAACTCCAGTTTCAGGTGACCCAATATCCTCTTCTGGCTCTGTGGGCACAAGGCATGCATATGGTGCACACATATACATACATAAAGGCAAACATTCATACCCATAAAATAAAATTTAAAATAAGAAATCTTAAAAATTAAGGAAAATCGCTGGAGAGATGGCTCAGAGGTTAAGGACTGTTCTTCCAGAGGTCCTGAGTTCAATTCCGAGCACCACATGGTGGCTCACAACCATCTATAAAGAGATTTGGTGCCCTCTTCTGGCCTGCAAGCATATAATCAGACAGAACACTGTATACGTAATAAATAAAATAAATCTTAAAAAAAAAAAAAAAAGCCGGGCGGTGGTCGCACACGCCCTTAATCCCAGCACTCAGGAGGCAGAGGCAGGAGGATCTCTGTGAGTTCGAGGCCAACCTGGTCTACAAAGCAAGTTCCAGGACACTGTTACACAGAGAAACCCTGTCTCAAAAAACCAAAAAATAAAAATAAATTAAAAATGAAATAAATAAAAAGAAAATCAGAGGGAAATATTACCTCACACCTATTAAAATAGCCATTACTGAGAAGGCAAAAAATAGTGTAGGTGTGGATTGTAGAAAAGGAAACCCCCATACACGGTTGGTCAGTGTGTGAATTGACACAGGCAGTATGCAAAGCAGTATGGAAGTGCCTCAAAAAATTAAAAATAGAACTACTATATGATTCAGAAATCTCACTACTGGGTATATACATAACCAAAGAAAATGAAATCAACATGTCAAAGAAATATTTGCAATATTATTTACAGTAGCCAAACTATGAAACCAATTGTCTGTCAGCAGGTGAACAGATAGAGAAAACGTGACACACAGGCTCTTAAAAATAAATCTTACCATTTGCGACAGTTCACATAAACTTGCAGGCTATTATGCTAAGTAAAACAAGCCCGGTATAGAAAGACAAATACTGTAAGGTCTCTCTCGTATGTGCAAACTGAAGTGGGTGAACTCAAGAAGCAGAATGTAGAATGATGGTTGCCAGGGTCTAGAGGTGAAGGAAGAGGAATATAGGGATACTGGATGAAGAATCTAGTTTCAGTAGATCAGGTGGCCAGGTCACTAAGTTCTATTGTATAGCGTGGCAGCCATAGTTAATAATATTATTATATGTTTGAAAGTTCCTAAAAGAGTAGATCTTAAGTGTTCTTACCACAAACAAAAATATGTGGTGGATGGATCTGTCAAATGTGTACATATATCAAATCCTCATGTTGCATACTGTAAATCGATACATTTTTTACTCATATACTCCACATTCCTCTCCAGGAGAATGGAAACATAGAGGTGTCTTGACATTGTGTCTGGTATCTGAAGTGAGGACTGAGCTGTAAACCTGGAGTCTGATGCTAACTCTTGGTAGTTAATGTCAGACTTAAGTGAATTGTTGGAGGCACTGTTAGTATCCAAAGAGTTGGGGAATTGGTTGCTGTGAGGGTAGAGAAAATACCTATGTTTGGTGAGCAAAAATAGATGGTCTTGGATTAAATATATCTGTTTAGTTGGGGGGCAAAAAACAACAAAATGCTAGTATAAGTATCCCCAGAATTTCCCAAACATTTTCCTCCCCCCCCCTCTCTCTTTCTCTCTCTCTCTCTCTCTCTCTCTCTCTCTCTCTCTCTCTCTCTCTCTCTCTCTCTCTCTGTGTATGTACATAAGGAGTTGGGAATAATGTTTTTAGTAGATGTTGGGGTATGCTGCATTACTTTTCTTCTAATGTTCCAGGTCAAGATTTAATATTTGCTTTGTTTTCTCTATTCCATTTCCTTTATTTACTTCTGGCAAATGTCAAGCAAACTCACTGTGTTTGGAAGCCTACATCAACTCCATTTCTCAGTCCCCTCTCCTTTTGGTTCGGCCATGCACTCCATTTTCTAGCATATTCTGTTTGGCAGTGATGGAAAGGATTTAAACTTTGAGAACATGGTGAATGTTGCCATGTGATTTGAGAAAGCCCTATGGAACACAAATTTAAAGACAGAATCTGCTACAGTGTCTGCTTCGCGTTCCTAACCATGTCGATCTTTGATATCTACTTTATTTCTTTTTAAAGACCCAAGGCCCCAACAAAGGTCATTCTAGGCTTCCCCTTTCTGGACCCACACATAGTCATTGCCATCTTCCATACCATTTCTCCCCTGGCCACCTAGAATGAGCACCTCTTTCGGGTGGGGGGTGTTTCACCTGTTTCTTAGTTAGGGTTTCCATTGCTGTGAAGAGACACCATGACCACAGCAACTCTTTTTTTTTTTTTTTTTTTTTTTTTTGGTTTTTCGAGACAGGGTTTCTCTGTGTAGCTTTGCGCCTTTCCTGGAACTCGTTTTGGAGACCAGGCTGGCCTTGAACTCACAGAGATCCGCCTGGCTCTGCCTCCCGAGTGCTGGGATTAAAGGCGTGCGCCACCACTGCCCGGCTCACAGCAACTCTTATAAAGGAAAATCATTCATTGAGGTGGCGGCTTACAGTTGAGAGGTTCAGTTCATTATCATCATGGTGGGGAGCATGTCAGTGTACAGGCAGACATCATGCTGGCTACATCTTGATCAGGAGGCAACAGGAAGTGGAACTGTGCCACTGAGCGAAGCTTAAGCAAAAGAGACCTCGAAGTTTGCCCCTACAGTGACACTCTTCCTTCACCAAGGCCACACCTCCCAATAGTGCCACTCCCTATGAGCTTATGGGGGCCAATTACATTCAAAGTACCACAACCTGCACATATGTCTGTGTACCACTTGTGTTCCTAGCACCCATGGAGGCCAGAAGAGGGTGTCAGATCCCCTGAGACTGGAGTTATAGATGGTTGTTGGTCTCCATGTGGGCGCTAGGGATCGAACCTGAGGCCAGTGCTCCTAACTGAGCCGTCTCTCAGTCCCACCTCGTTGCTCTCTGCCACATCATCAGCTTTCTTGCTCCATCGGCTTGCTAATTCACTCAGCATATTCAGCTTTTTTTTTCTTTTTCACAAAATGCTGTGGATTTAGGAAAACAAAAAGTAGTACTCGGTAATTCATATGCTGCTTGTTCAGTGCTCAAATCAGTGATTCTTATCCTCAGAATTAGAACCACCTGTTGTTGGGGACCAGCTCTGAGCTGTCAAAGGAGTCTTGAGGGGAGGAGAGAGGAATGAGGAAATATTAAATAGAAATATAGTGGAGACAACGAGAAAGACAGAGACACAGCATAGCTTCAGGAGGGCCCTGGGTCAATACCCAGTCACCCAGAGTTTTATTCTAAGGAGCTTTTTATACACAACCAAAGAGAGGCAAAAGACCTCCCCCTTTCAAGATCAAAGCACAATGTACAGCCGAGGGTAGACCCTTCAAAACACCTGGTAACCATGCCCCTGGCCAATCATCCTATTATGCAGCCCTCCTGGGTAAAGCAAGCTCAGATTCTGACCTTGATTAAGGCCTTGCTAGGGAGCCCCTGTGGGCCCCTACAACCTGTGAAGTTTTTCAAACTACAAATGCTCCTGTCTCACATAATTTAGTCACTCCAAGTTGTATGTAAAGATATGCAATTTCAAAAACCTTTTTAAGAATTTGGCTGTCTGGGACCATGACCCATAGAACCTGCTGAGTAGAAAGGTGACAGAAACCTAGAAATGTTGGGTACACTTCACATTCGAGATTTAAATTGTGTGCTGATGGCTGGGTAGCTTTCCAGTCGAAAACTACATTCCAGAAGAAGGAAAGCGGAGCGCCTAAACTCAGTTGCATTTATCAGTATAAATTTTACTAACACACAAAGAGAAGATGGGTAGAAGACTCTTTTCAGAATCACCATCATGCATGTAGCATGTTAGCTACAGAATTTGGAGGCTTGGAGATGCCTTTACTCTTACCCAGAAATGCAATTAATATAGAGAATAGTAACAGTTTGATTTACACACCTAGTTTCTTTCTATAAATTAGGAGTCTTCTCAGGAGACACACATGGGTGTTAGCATTTGTAATCTTACAATTGATGTACAGTAGATTTTATTTTACTTTTTTTCCCTTGAGATAGCGTCTTACTGTGTGTCCCTGGCAGGCCTAGAACTTTCTCTATAGACATCAGACTGACCTTAAATTCACAGAGCACATACTTCTGCCTTCTGAGTGCTGTTGTTAAAAGTGTGCACTGCCACATACAGCCTCTGATTTTTTAATCCAGAGGTGTTGAAGGAATTAATGATAGCGTCAGTGTGATCATCTTAATAATGGTCATTCATGATACCTGAAGGAGCAGATACTTACAGGTAAGCTCTCATTACACTCACAAAGCATGCAAGAATGGCCTGTTATCTGTCTACATGTTATGACCTTGTTTTGAAATACCCCAAACTGAGCCATTTTTTGACAACAGAGAATAATGAGTTTCCATTATATACCAGACCATATACTTGTATATATCCTCAAAGTGATATAAAACAATTTCCTTTTCACTATGTGTGTATATTTCCTCTCTCACCACTATTTTTGTTGTTGTTGTTTATAGATGAAGTCATGGCTACTCAGAAGATACAAGGTCCAAGCTCCTGTGGTCCATGGATAGGTGCATCAGGATTTGAAGCTAGCTTTGTTTCCCTTAAAATCACAGGGCCATCTCTTCACACTGTACTACTGTTGGGTTAATCCAAAGACCCTTTTATAAGACTAAGCAGGTTGTTGGTAAATACTGTTAAATATACAAGTAAGGTCAAACCTGAAACGGAGCCCGTGTAGCACAAACCATCAAATGTTTCCTTTAAAGCACATCGGGGCTGAAGAACCAGCTCAATTTGTGAAATGTTTGCCTTCTGGGCACGAGGTCCTAAATTCTATCATCAGAATCTAATAGCAAAATTGAAAAGCCAGCTGTAGTGGCATGCACCTGCAATGCCAGCACTGGAGAAGCAGACACAAATGGATCTCAGGGCTCACTGGGCAACCACAGCCAGTTGAGAGACACTATCTTAAAAAAGAAGATTGCCGGGCGGTGGTGGCGCACGCCTTTAATCCCAGCACTCCGGAGGCAGAGGCAGGAGGATATCTGTGAGTTCGACCCCAGCCTGGGCTACAGAGTGAGTTCCAGGAAAGGCTCCAAAGCTACACAGAGAAACCCTATCTCAAAAATAAATAAATAAATAAATAAAAATAAATTTATATATAATATATATATAACATATATATTATATATATATGGGCTGGAGAGATGGCTCAGCAGTTAAGAGCACTGGCTGCTCTTCTAAAGGTCCTGAGTTCAATTCCCAGCAACCACATGGTGGCTTACAACCATCTATAATGAGATCTGATGGCCTCGTCTAGCCTGCAGGCAAAAGCATGCAGGCATAACACTGTAGACATAATAAATAAATAAATCTTTTTTTTTGTTGTTTTTGTTTTTTGAGACAGGGTTTCTCTGTGTTGCTTTTTGCACCTTTTTCCTGGAACTCACTTTGGAGACCAGGCTGGCCTCGAACTCACAGAGATCTACCTGCCTCTGCCTCCCTAGTGCTGGGATTAAAGGCGTGCGCCACCCTCACCCGGCTTAAATAAATCTTAAAAAAAAAAAAACAAAAAACATGGTTGACAACAATGCAGAATCATCCAGGTTTATCCCCTGGCTTCTACTTGCACGCGCACACACACACACACACACACACACACACACACACACACACACACCTAGTAGCTGTTCCCCTCAATCTCCTGTTACTGCTTGTTTGCTTGTTTGTTTGTTTGCTGCTGCCAGTTTTTGACATAGGATCTCACATGGCCCAGGCTGACCTCAAACGCACTATGTAATAATGTAAACTGGCCTTGAACTCCTTCCTAATTCTTTTGCTTCTGCCTCCCAAGTGCTGGTGTTACAGGCCTGAGTCACAATGCCTTCTTCTGTTACTTCTCAAGAGCATAATTCTGAGTATTAGCAACTTTCTGGCTAACTCTGAGTAATAGTGTATTGAATTGCAGCCAAGCAGTGTTGGAGCACACCTTTAATCCCCAAATTGGGAGGCAAAAGCAGGTGGTTCTCTGAGTTTGAGGCTAGCCTAATCTACAGAACAAGTTCTAGGACAGCCAGGGCTACACAGAGAAATCCTGTCTTGAAAAACAAACAACAAAAGAATTGAGTTGGTAAATAGAAAGTAACCTAGGACCAAATTCAAGATCTGATTCTAAAATTATTAGGATGTGCTACAAGTAGGCCAGATATCTTGAGAAGATATCCATCTAACTCCATCTATAAGCATCATGGATAGATATGAGGGTAAGACTAAAGGAGTGGTCAGTATATCCATCTCAGAAACAAGAGGGTTGGTTCTATGATATATACCATATTCTGTACAGTATAGACCACTTCTCCCAAGCACCCACACACTGACTGCATCAGTGGCTGAGCCAACTAATCCATGGGGTCAAAAAGATGATTCTGAGAGATTCAAACTTCCAGAGTCCATGTTGAATGCTTCCTTGCCCAATTAGTACAGTGTGCTCTTTAACCTGGTCTTAGATCTGGTTCTTTCCTTGTTAATTTTTTTTCAGGCAGGATCTTGCCATGCAGCTATAGTAACCTTGGAATTTGTGATTCTCCTGACTCAGCCTCCTGAGTGATGGGATTATGGGCATGCACCACCCGTACCTGGCTTAGATCAGTTTCTCGTACATTAGCAGTGCGTGTTAGCAGTCTATAGGATGAAATCTTGTCTGTACACCTTAAAGGGTTGATGACAGAACATGTGGGAAGCAGTGAACAGTACAAGGCAGTGAATATACCCCTAAAATCTAGGGTACAAGCTACTTAGGATTTTCCTCAAAATTATAATATCATCAGATACACTATTTAGCCCCCAAACAGACTGAACATTAATGCATAGGAATTCTCTTTGACCAGACACAGAAGGTCAGCTCAGATATCCTCTAATTCTGGCTGGAGCAAAGGTTCCTAAGGCCTTTGACAAAATATTTTTATTGTTGTTTTGATTTGTTTGTTTGAGACAGGGTAGCTTTGGATTGCCTTCAGGTCACTATGTAGACCAGGCTGACCTTGAATTCCTAGAGATTCACCTTTTGGGGTGAAAAAAGAACACTCCCACGCCTAGTACCACAAAATTCTTTAAGGGATTACAAATTAAAGATAGTTTGAATGGGGAAGGGGTACTGCCAAAGCTCAAGAGCAGGAGCAGCAGACTGGCAGGAATTGCAACTATTAACTGTACCTTCTTGGGACCCACCACCCCCTCAGTGTGAGCAATCACCCCAAAAAAAAGCGATGT